CCCACATCACTCGAACATTTGAAAAGTGTTAATGAGCAGATCAAAGGGACTGTTGCCTGAAGCAGCTAAATTTTTTTTTTTAAAGAAAGAAATCGGCTCTCCTCCAAACTGAATCTTCATTCTAGCAGCTAAGTAGATGAGATGTAATCCTCTCTGATGATGATAATAACAAATGAAAAAAAAAATTGGAGAAGAGTCAAACTCTGCATATGGTTCATAAAGTGGTGAAAGTGTTTTCCAGAATTTTCAATACAGAGATGAAGGATGCTAAGTGGAAAAAAATCCTGGCAACTAGGCAATATTATGCCTTTTAAAATCTGTAAATTCTCATAAAATATGGTGCCTATGAATACATCCTTTTCTGAAATGAATGTGTTTTTGCACTATTTAATATAAGAATGGGAGTCTCATGACTGTTATTTTTAATGCATTTAGGCAACAGTAAGTTTTTCCTTTCTCCTGAATTAGTTTCACTGAAATGTAGGGATGTCACATTGACACAGATTTTTGCTTTTGTCAGCATTTGAGCCAAATGGCCTTAGATTATTTTCATCTTCCTTTGTTACTTACAAGGTCATGTGGTGTAGGGGAGCATTTTGAAATATCACAAGAAAACCAATTTTTTTCTGTCCCTGCATTTCTAGCTGAATGATAATAAGTATAGTAGTAAACGTGTTATGTTTCTATGAAATGATGATAATCTCTACCATACACAGTTATTGTAAGCTTTAAATATAACTGTTTATTCATCCATTTATCCATACCTCAACCCATCCATCCATCCCCTCATCTACCCTAGTAAGTAACAATTGCTCAGCAAATCTTAGGCCTCGTCTTCTGCCTACTTTCTCTGTGCAGTACGAATGTTGTTTTAGAATGTCATATGGCAGAAGTTGAACTCAGAGTTTAAGGGGGATGGATTTGGATCCTGGGTTTGAATCCTAATTCTGTGATTTCTCTTTCCACACACTTAAGGAAAATCATTGAAAAGTAGAGCTTTCATTTTCTTATATTTAAAATGGGGATAAACAGTAATTTCATTGAATTGTTAATAAAACAAAATATTTAGGGCATGGTATGGCAACACCAATAAAGGATGATTCCTTTTTTAAAGTTTTAAAAAAATTTAAAGTACATGTTTGTAGTACATGATGACTAAATTCACTGTAGGGTGTTGTTTCATGTGCATAACATTAGTTTTACTTTCCTCTTCCCTCCTTCTGTCTCTTTGTCCCTTTCCCATGGTTACTGTTAATAAGAAAAAAAGCACAGAGATGAGCCTTAGCTCAGGCTCAGTTCCTGAAAGTCCTCTTACTTGTGGTGGTGACTGTGTATCTTAATTTACTAGATTGAAATTTGACTTAGGTAGAGCTTTAAGGGTTTAATTTCCATTATTAACAATGTAAAACCTATACATACATGCCAGGTTTTCAAGATCACTTTAAATTTATAATAAGTTTAGTCATATATAAGATACTTACATGTTTTTGGAAAAAAACCCTAAATCCTAAGGTTCTTTTCTGGAATGAGTACAATGCACATAGACATATGGCCACGCTTAGTTATGGAAAAGCTTTGAAGTGAAAGACCTAGTAGAAACATTGTGATATGTATATTTATTATTTTTAAAGAATTTTCATGTTGGAAAAGACCTATAATTAATCTATTTCCTAGATGAAGAAACTTGATGATCTAAAACTTACCAGCTGTCATTGAGTTTGTTAGCTCTCTGACTTTACTCTTTGAAAAATTTAATGCTTCCTTTTCTTTGGAACCAGTAATATTTTAGTTTCGTGGAAATCTGTCAGTACCTGTGTATCGTTTATAATATATATTTTTCCTCTAGACATGGAGATGGACCATGATCCTTCTTTAACATTCTCAATTCTTTCAATTTAATTTTGTAATATAGTTTTAATATCTGCTTTCTGTAGACCACTGTCTTAGGTCTGTTAGGCACTGATACTATTTGGAAAGAAGGAAGAAATGGTTATTTCCCTTAAAATCTACACTTTAAAGGGCTAATTTAAAAATTACAAAATAAACATATAAATCCAATCTAATGAATCATGAATTGTTCACCCGTGCAGTTTTTAGTTATCTTAGTATTCAAAACTAGACATTTTTCTCTTATGGAAAAATTATGTGTGTATGTATTTGTGTGTATTTTTATGTATCTGTGTTTCTTTGTTCCCAGATTGTAGGACCAAGAGTAAAGAGTAGAAAATATAGATACAGAAAGCGAAACTTTGCCTTCATTTGGGGGAAAAACTTTGAAAGGATAAGTTCCTTGACAGTTTCTTTGTGAGGTGGTGAATTTCTTCTTATTGAAGCAGTCCAAATATACTGGGACTACACTTTGATGGGAATTACTCAGAATATTGGAGTTGGGTTGTGTATACATTCGAGGTCTTGAAAATGTACTAGATACTTTTGAGATTCAGAGAATTTCAAGTTCCTGATTTTAGGGAGCTATGGTGGGAATGGAATAAAAATAATCATTTTTTTTGTTCTCTCAGTATTCCATTCTGTTTTTCCCTTCCTCTCACCCTCTTCTACTCCTTTCCCATCCCTTCTTTTCCTCTCTGCATTTTTCTCTCCTTTCTTCCTTTTTTTAATTTTTGTCTTTTTTTTTCTTTTTCTGATCTCTCATTTTTCTTTCTAAATTCCTTTTTCTTCCCCTGCCTCACTTCCTTGAAAGTCATACTTGTGCCTGACACTCTCCTAAGTACTGGGAATGCAGTGAGAAGTTAGTCAGACACAAAATCTGTTCTTATGGAATTTATGTATTTTTGGAGCTAAATAAAATTGTCAACTTTGATAAATGCTGGGGAAAATCAAAGAAATATCTGTGCATTTCAGGGGACTCAATGTGTTTTGGAAATATGGAGAATTCATGGGGGAGAAAAGGGTTAGATAAAGGGAGAGATTTTTAAAAAATCTATTGGACATGGGAACTATGTGATAGAGTCATTTGGAAGTGAGAAAGAAATTATAGATTATGCCAGCAATTTAAGGCTGCAACTGGAGTGATCTACTCGAAAGAAACGAGAAAGCTAGGAGGAAGACTTGGCTTCTGAATGAAGAAAACTGGATTGGTTTTACCTGATGGAGTGAGAAATGCTGACAGATCTGGAATTACTGCTTGTTTTAGACATATAGGTTCATAACTTCCTCTTGTTTTTTGGTACTGGGAATCAAACTTGGGTCCTTGCACTTGCAAGCTAATTCCCCGGTCCCAACAACCTCCTTTTAAATAAAGAAAATGTATCTATAAAGAATAAATAAAGAATCTACAAAGAATAAATAAAGAAATGTATCTATAGCTTAATCACCTTACATTTATTTTGTTTAATTACAGTGTTATTTTAAACCTTAATCTCCCATGCCACTTATTCCTGTGCTTATTGTTAAAAATAGTTACGGATTGTTATCTTTCTACATTATTAAGAATAGAATTGTGTTTTTTAATAGAATTAAAGGTTTAAATAGAAAAAAATGACATATTTTGTAGGATCAAGAGATTCAGTCAAATTCAGTTATTGTCCAGTTATATTTGTGTAGTTTTAGTTATTGTTTGTATGTTTTTTCTCTGAGATTTAGATCTAAGCTAAAATCTGAATGATGACAATACATATATGGATAATTTGGGGCCTGTTATCTAAACAGTACTAATAATATTAAAATTAAAAAACCCTTTGTTATAGAAACTTTCAAACATTGATGAAGAAATAGACTCCCACAGTGAATCCTCAGATCTTTGTCACTCATCTTGCTCAGGGTGTTATCCGTTGTATCTCATTTATACTCTCATCCCCTTTTCTATCTCCGGTTATTCTGATGAAAATATTAGACTGGTACCACTTCACGGGGAAATGTTTACGTACAAAAAACAAAAACATAGCCATGGTAATGGTAACTTGCTACGTAGTAATAATAATTCCTTGATGAGGTAGAAGTGATACCTCATTTTCAAAGTCACTTTTGTTTTAAATCTTCAAAAAAATTTTTTTTTGCTTTTTTGCTACAGAGAATTGAACTCAGAGCCTTGTGCTTTGCCCCAAGGTACTGTGCCACTGAGCTCCATCCCCAGCCCAAATTAAAAAGAATTTTTTTAATGTAATTGAAATATTTGACACTAGACGAAGTAAAGTAGTTATGTTTTCAGTTTTTCCTCTTGATGTAGAGACAAGGATATGTACCTGAATTATCAGAAAATTAGAACTTGGGAAAGGATTTTTCTATCCTGATGACATCAATTGTCCTGATGATGTTCAGATGTAGTGGGACCAATGAGGTCATCTCAAGTTAAGCCTTAGGCGCTATTCCTCTCACATGAATAATTGGCCATGTAAGATTTCTTTAGGAACCATGTACAGGAAAGAAATCTTGACCAAAAAGTTGATTTGCTAAAACTATCTTAAAACAATTTAGTATCCTCCTGGTTGTAAGGGGAAGACAGGCTAAGTTAGAAGATTCTGACTGGGAATCTCATGCAATCACAGCTGTATCAGCTGAGATGGAGCTATCTGCAAGCTCACTGTGTCTCGATATGATGTCCACGATCAGTTCTTCTCTGACATGTTTAGCTTATCAGCAGGGATGGCTGAAATGGCTGAAGGCTAGCCACTGTCCCTGTCACCACCCAATGCTTATGTAACGTCATCATGGGCTTTCCTACAGCTCAAGGGTCTCTGGGCAGACTTGTGACAGCAAAATTCCTCCACAGTGTCACAAGGGTGACGAGAGAAGGAAAGAAGCTTCTTTTGACTCATCCTGAAAAGTCATGAGGTACTATACTACCTCATTTGGCTGGTGAAAAGCTAGTAATAGGCAAGCCCATATTCAGAGGAAGGGTCATGAATTTTAGAAGGCAAAATTCATTGGGTCATCTTTGGTGTTACCACAGTATTTTACCAATCTAATTATTTTTACACATCCTTATTATATCATCCTTATACCATGGAACTTTTAAAAAATGTAATTTAATTTTTGCACAGGTTATCAAAGATCCTCCTCCACCACCACCACCTGCACCTAAACAGGTAAATGCATGCCTAGTAAATAGATATGGGTATTTCCCCCTGTGTGTAGATACCACCCTTCAACTTGATCAGTTCCATTTGTTGTTTAAAAAAAAACTGATACTTAACTATTGACTTTTTACTTGATGAAGATCACTTGTTATTTTTTTTTTATCTCACCATTTATTTCATGCTCTAGAAAAATGGGACCTTCATGCATTGGTAGATATAGAGTGACCATCAGGACAGTATCTGGAGATTAAATATACTTTTTATGGCAATATAGTCATAGTCCTGATGACACTTGTTTTATTTATAAAAAGTGGCAAGATCTCACATGGCGGTTTAAAGATCTTATTTCTTTCGTGAACATGGTTATTGCTTTTTATATTACTCTGTTACCCAAATTCATATTACTTACATAAAATAATACTGGTATTTCAGAGCTTCTCAAGTATCTGTCTTTTCACAATAAACTTCAGAGTTTGAACTTATATATTCTCTTCTTTAAATGGTTACAGAAATGCTGCCTTAACTTTAATGTTTTATCTTTTTAAGCATGAAATGATAGATTTCTAATAAGCAAATGATGCCCATAGTTAAAGAACAGTTTTTGGTAATTTAGGGGTGAGGTCGGGAGAAACCTATAATTTGAGAAGGGAGATAGTCTGAATGGCTTATAGAACTTCACCTGATCTCCACATATTTTATAAATAATTTTTATAGTTTTCCATAGCAATAGCATTACTAAAAATTTACATTTGATCTGGCTCTGACTAAACAACATTGTGATTAAATTAATTTAAAAACTATGTCTACAGGAAGAAGAAGATCCTCTACCCAACAAGAAATGGCCAACTGTGGATGCTTCCTATTATGGTGGCCGAGGGGTTGGAGGAATTAAAAGAATGGAGGTTGGTACCCTAAAAAAAAGCTGCTAATTGGGAATTTGTATTTCTGGGATTATTAAACAATGTAAAATGTGCTTTTCACAATTCACCTCATAATTCATATATCCAGTTTTACTCCTCTCTGGGATTTTCTGGATACATCTTTTTGTATGATTCAGTCTAGCCGTTTTCATTAGTCAAAGGATTCATTGATAAATTCTCTGAAATATAAAGGACAAAAAAAAAAGCTAGAGTTTTTCTCATTATTTTGGAAAAAATTAGTGCATGGAACTATTGTAAAAAAGCGAGACCCTTAAAGTTGCAACAATGCTTTTTTTGAAGAGATCCAATAGGACTATTTGAGGAAAAAAAAATGGTAAAATGTTCAATGACATGAATATGACTTTGTCACAAATACAGAGGAAGTATATTTAAAACAGAAAAAAACTTTTAGTTACTACTTATGAAGTATCCTAATGAATATTACATATCATTTATGGAATGCATTGAACTTGTAGACTGATTTAAAGTTGGATTAAAGTCAAACTGTAACATTTCATTGAAGGCACAGTAAGCCTGTGCTGTTTTTTTTTTTTTTTTTTTTTTTTTTTTTTTTTTTTTTTGGTACCAGGGATCAAACTCAGGACTCAGCGCTTGTGAGGCAGGCAGTGGAACCACTGAGCCAAATCCCCAGCTGTAACATTTTATCTTAAAAATCAAATGAGGTTTTCTCATCATCATAAAATGCTTTTGAAGCAATAGATTAATTGATAAGAAGCAGTCATTGCCAGAACTGAGCCCCTAAGAAGAATTTAAATACATCAGCATCCCATCCCTAGGACCACTTTGAGAAATTTTCTCATTGATGAAATAGCTGTATTATTCAACACAGATCCTTACATATCCTCGTTATTAGTTGTTGTTTAATTTTACTTCTTGTTTTTATGTGTTTGTCATCATAGCTTATCTCTCCATTGTGCCTTGTCCCATTACTGCCACTAAAAATCAGTAAGGTCATTAACAACCCCACAAGAGTTGTAGTTTTCTTCTTTTACTGATTCTAACAAAATTCAGATTTCTTTAGAGAGTTTCCCCTTTACAGAATTACTATTCATTCAGCTGACAGAACCACGTTAGATAGTAAAATAATGCCCATTTCCCCTAGGAGCTTGGCACTTTATTGCTGAAATATCTCCTGAGGCAAGTGTTTTGTGACCGACAAGCCATGGTGCAAGGCAGGCTCTGGAAGCCGCTGAAGCTGGACTTGGAGAGAGCATACCACATCTATGTTGGCAAGGGGGTGACTGGGAGTCTCAGCAATCCAAGAGAAAAATATATTTTTCTCTCCTTCCTTCCTTGTGTTCTGTCTTTGTAGGCATGGAGGAGTGGACTGGATGTTGTTTTGGATTTTTTATTTTTATTTTTTTGGTCCTGGGGATCGAACTCAGGACCTTGCACTTGCCAAGGCAGGCACGGTGCCACTGAGCTAAATTCCCCACTCCTGGATGTTCTTATGTGCATAAAAATTATACTAGTAAATAAAACTGTTATGGTTAAGTATCCAAATATGAACCATCACAAAATACTTTTAGTTTGCTTTGCTTCATTCCAAAATGTGTGTATAAAAAGATATATGCAAAAGAAAAAAAGTGTGATAGTTATATCAAAACATTTGAGTAGGTATTTTTGGATGTAGTAAGCTTAAATGAGCTATATAGTTCTCTATTTTTTCCTAATGAAAATATATTCATTTTTTGTAGTATGAGAGATTAAATTCAGGGCCTTTGCACTGAGCTACCTCCATTGATTGATTGATTGATTGATTGAGACAAGGTCCTGCCTAATTATGCAGGTAGGACTCAATTTGGGATCCATAAGCTTCTGCCTCCCAAAGTGCAGGAATTATAAGTGTTAGCATACACTCGTTTATGTTTATAATAATCCACATTGAAATCCACACATGTAGCATACTACGTGAGAATGAGGTAATTAGAATGAAAATGACCCTGAATTGAATAAATATGTTCTTGCTGAAGATACTAAAAACAATAATTAGGTTTTTGGTTAGTCCAGCATTGCTGTGTTCCAAAGATTGAATTCTCTTTCCAAAGAAAAGAATATGCATGAGCCCTTAAAGGGATCCTGAGCAAGAAGATGCATTATTTTCTGTGTTAGTTGGGCTTTTTATGACTTAACAAACACCTAAGATAAATCAGTTGAGGAAGAATAAAGTTTTATTTTGGCTCATAGTTGCAGAGGTTGTGGCCCTGGTTGACAGGCCTTGTGGCTTCTGGGCCTGTGGTCAGGCAGAGCACCGTGGTGAGGGACACATGGAAGAGTAACCAGCTCACCTGGGCAGTTCAGAGGTAAAAACTGGGACAGGAAGAGACCAGCATCTCAGAGTCAGCTCTGAGGGTTCGATTCCTGGACTCGGGGACCTCTTGGTAGGCCCCTGCTCTTCGTTGTTTTCATCTCATTTTAATAGTGTCACGTTGAGGACCACACCTTTAAACCAATACAGGGTCATTCCAGATCCAAAATATAGCACTTTGTTTCCACTGAAGAGCATCCCAAACACATGCACATTCCTGAGCCCCCCATAATTCAGATTTCAAGAGCTGCTGACTTCTTTTGTTTTTCTTTTTAATTGAGTTTTTTGGTACATTTTAGGGATACAGTTTACATTCATCATTGGGATCTTTTACCTCTACATGACAGGTCTTGGCTCTCATTTTTTTCCCCTTGTCCCTGCCCTCCCTTCACCCCTCCTCCTCTCCCCCTTTACAAACACTTTATTTCCATCTTTTCATTTTATCACATTTTTTCTTTTCCCTTATTACCCTTCCCCTACCCATCCCACCTTCCTTACACCTTTAGACCTTTTCTTCCCTTTTCACAATGTCAGTTATCATTAGGATCTTATGTACTCTTATAGTTTATTCACACCAGAGTGCTGACTTCTAATATGTGAAGTCCTATTGAGCACCTGTCCCTTTCAGTTGGAGAACATTTATGAAAAGGATTCAGCTAACCTTTAATGAATGGGATCCCCTTTTAGATTTGGGTGAATTTGGTCTCATGTGTGGAATGTTTCATTAATGAGATGGAAATGAGAATGAGTCAAAAATAGCAAAACACATGCAGCTATTACAAAAGAGAACACATAAAAATATACAATGCAGAGAAAAATGTATCATCATACTTTCTCTAACTTAAACTTAGAAGGAGAGACAAAAATTATTTGTCTTAAAGCATACCTATTTAAACCTGGAAGATTCTTCACTTTAAAAAATACAGTAACCTGGGGAAAATAAAATGAATTCTAGAAATTAGGACAACAATTCTCCATAACTAGTTACTTTAAGTCAGTATAGAGATTTAATTGAGAATTTTTTATTCTTACTCTTCCTGTAAATTACAGTTTTTTTAAATTGTGGCAGTAGAAATTTGCAGAAAGCTGGAACTGAGTTTATGTTAATAATAGCTATTAGCATAACTGATCCACAATACCCATTGACTGTACTCAAACACATGTTTCTGCCAATTCCTTGTGAAAATGTTTTTATTTCTTTTCTTGATTCTGAAATTGAGTTGCTGTAATATAATCTCTTAGTCTGGAAATTATAGAATTCCATTATTCATAAGGAAAGTCAAAGCTGAGGTAGTAGACTATCAAGCTTGTATGTTTTATGCTTTTCCATAATAAAAGCTAGATATATTATTTCTTCTAAGATTCCCTTTAGCAATCTATTATTCCTGGCATCCTTTTATCCTTTTAAACTATCTCAAGGTGGTCAAACTAAAACATTAAGATTTACACATATACATATGTGATTCTGTTTTAAGAGTTTTAGGACATCTGTACAAAGCACTTTCTAGATTTAGACTTTGAAGTAGAGTAAATGATAATTATTAATTGTGGTATTTGTAGTGATGTTGGTGGTAAAGATGAAGCAGTTCCTTGGGGAAAGAAAGAAAACTAGTTTATTTAACTCACCTCCTTATACTTCAGCATCTGTATAAGTGTAGCCCTTCAATAATTTGATCCTAGAAATGCCACATTGAGTCAGGACTCTAGTCAAACTACCTTTAAATCTGATAATGGTACTAGTAATACTTGAGAGAATCTAATTATCACCACCTCTGCAAATACCAGCAGGGAAGGATAGGCTAGGGAGCTGTATATGTTAAAATCTATCATTTCTGAACGGATCTATTTAAATTTCTACTGGAAATTATTTCCCTTGGTTACAACATTCATGTTTACTTAACTATGTAACTCATTTTGTTTTTTCCCCTAAAATTGAGACTTTACTACTGCAACAAATTTTTCCTGCTTTTAGAGTTTTTAATTCACTTTAGCTATGTCTAAACATTTTGTAAGTGTTAGTTTATCTAGGTGAAGACACTGTAAATTGAAAGAGAAGGTCATTTCTCTGGAAAGAAAGCCAACTATCTAGCTCTAAAGGTTTTAATCATGTTTAAAACAATTTTAACAACCTCATAAAGAACATTCTAGTACCATTGATCACACTGAAAGATACAGATACATTTTAATGACTCAAGAGGGCCCACTTGAAATTGAAAGCCCATTCTAAAATTATAGTATAAAAAGGCAAAAACATCTAAGTGAGTCTTATCAAAAAGCTGTGAATAGTCCTTTCTATGAACCGTAGTCATCTGTAGCCCTTCCCACTAATTCAGGTCATTAAAGTGCTTAAAAAGGCTTTAATTTTTTTCCTTTATAGACGCCCCTTAACTGTGTCAGAGTGTGCCATGGAAGGCCTTTGCATTTCTTCTTAGAGCTCTGCTTTTCCCTTCTTTGTCCTCTTCGGCAATGTCCTTGGTTTTTACCAGACTTTCCCACTGCTCCTGGTTGGACAAAAATCCTTCTCCAGGGGCCACATCCTATTGTCTCCACAGTTGCAAAAGCTGTCATTTCGTGGTGTACACAGGAAATGTACAGCGGTGTAAATATGTTCGATGTCAATAACTGCATTCATTAAATAATTAAGCCGTGTCAGCTTAAACCTAGTTTGCTTCAGTGTTAACGCTTTTCACTCACTGAAAAATAAATAGCAATTTGACCCTGTGGCTTTTCCATGTCAAGAGTTTTCAGAGAAGGAAATTCTCTAAAATTTATGGAATTCTTTTGGTGTCACTGAATTTTTCTCTTCAAAGCAGAATCTTTGTCAGCCTGTCTTTTGCAATGAAAAATTCACTTGTCAAGTAACTGTACTCAGATAGTCATAGAAACTGAAGACTGGAAAGCTGCTGTACCAAGTAGAACTTTATGAAATTAAAGTCACTGGTAATTACTTCCAAAGATTTAATATTTTAGTCATACCTTTTGCCATAATCAAAAACTTGATGAAAAATTTCAGAGTAACTTCTGTGTGTAAAATACATTTGTAAAATTCAGACCGTTTTGAAACTCAATTTAACCCATTTCAGATTACATATGTTCAAATTCTTGTGCTGCCTCTTACCAGCTGTGTGACTTTGGGACATCCCTTAACCCGTCTGTGCCACAGTTCTCTCATCTGGAAGGAAAAAGACATGGTATCTACTTCAGTATATTTTTGTGTGGATTAATTGCAGGCTGACACGGCTTAATCATTCAATGAATCCAGTTATTGACATCTAACATGTTTACACTGCACTGTTGTACATTTCCTGTGTACACCACGAAATGGCGGCTTTTGCAACTGTGGAGACAAAGTTGTGTTCAACTGAATTGATTTCAGATTTTTACAAATGTCTCTTTGTCTAGAATCTTAAAATTAAATATATGAAAGAGTGGTGAGCAGCCTACGAAATCACAGCAGAGAAAGAATTATGAGTTACCCTACTCATGTTCTTTTTACTCGGAGCTGGCGAACCGAAGGACCACAGGTTGTGTAAGAGCTTGTTCCTGTGTTACTTTCTGGCTGATAGCAGTGCCCCCGTTGTTTTATAGGTTCGCTGGGGTGACAAAGGATCTACTGAGGAAGGTGCAAGGCTAGAGAAAGCCAAAAATGCTGTGGTGACGCTTCCTGAAGAAGAGGAGGAACCAATCAGGCCTAGACCACCTCGATCCCAAGCCACGCACCAGCCTCCCCAGACAAAGTGGTACACGCCAATTAAGGTACGTGGTGTAACTGAACCTCACCCTCTTAGAGAAGCCGCAGCTTTGTAGCCTCCACTCTGCTCAACATCCGAAAGAGGATTAAGGTAGATCAAAGGCTAGTTACTCATTTTATAATCTGAATGCTTTCTTAGCATAAGAACCTCCAAGTTTTCGTTTCTTTAACTTATGAGCGGAATGAAGGTAGAGAAGTCTTTTCCTTCTTAAAGTACTCAGTAATTAGAAGTTGACTACATTCCCTAGGAATTCACTAATCCCATTTTCTTTAGGGTCGTCTTGACGCGCTGTGGGCCTTGTTGCGGAGACAGTATGACCGGGTTTCCTTGATGCGACCTCAGGAAGGAGACGAGGTTTGTGTCTGGGACCATGCTGGGGAAAAGCTGGCTGCCAAGTTAGCACAAGGAAAGTAGTGAATTACTAATAAAAATAATGTGAATAAAAATAATGTGAGGGATTATTACACTAGCAGGAGGGATTACAATTGTCTAGTGCAGATTCCTGTTACATGGGGAGCTTAATAAATTCTAAGAATTCACTAGAATGTACCTTCACACTACAGTTTCATGCCATACCCTTTAGAAGTAATTCATAGAAATGATGGCTGTTTGTACAGATACTTTAATAAGCATACCAATTGCTTCAGCCTTTGGCTTTAAAGACACCATGTTCTGAATTTTATCTACTAGTAACAACAGTCTCAGAATTAGTAGCTGCAGTCTTCATTCTAGCATTTAGTAGCAATAAGACATAGGGAAATACCCCAGAATCGCAGTTTCTTTAGGAATAAATACATTCCTTACCTTTGGCAGTTGATGTAACCTAATTTGTTGAAAATATGAAGGAGAGTATAAAGTTATAAAACATTATAGAAATCTGTACTGGTGATGTATATATAGAGAGATACACACATATGTATCCATATGTGTTTTTCCCCCACCAAGGAAGCTTATTGAAGGTTTTTTTATTTTGAAAAATTGGCTACAGTTATTCTAGTTCTGTAATTCCTTTAGTAACTTACTCTATTTCCTCATATATCAATGTAAGAACCTTTACATATGTTACAGTAGGTTGCTTTGGCTCAAAGACCAGTATTATTAATAAGACTGTATTAGGATGATTTCATTTTGTGTCACCCCGATCCTTGTACAGTTTCAACAAGGTTAGGAGTGTTTCACAACACTTGAGCTTCTCTTGGGCTAGATATGTTATTTTTTTTTAAGTATGAAATAATTGATGAAATTATTATTTATCTTGTAGTGCCAAATAATTATATTTGCAGGTTTAAACCACACAAAATAGTTATCAATCAATATAATACAAAAGGATCCAAATTTAAATATTTTACTTCTGCCAAATTGGAATAATTTAAAAACCATCGGAGTTCAACCATTTAGGAATTACAATTTTGAAAACAATTTGAAGCACTGACCCTTTGCTAGGATCATTGGTAGAGAGAATTACTTGGTTTGTGAAGCAGCCTCATTATCCAGTCACTGAGAGTCTTAGTAGAAAGTTCTTTGTGATAAAATTCATGCTTTTGTTTAAATTCCTTTGTGATCTAGAGTTAGTGCTTTTGGAGCAACAAAAGCAACTCTTCCTCTTTTTTAAAAAATATATAATAATCTTACTTTTTATTAATTTCATTGGTACGTTTTAGGTCTTCTTCCTCTTGAACATGCTAGAGTTTCACTTCATGTGTTTAAAATTGTTTCTTGTATCATCTTAGTTCTCTCCCCTCTGGTTGCACACTAGTTCATTCATTCAACAATTTCCACCTTATTATGAGCTGTATACTAAGTTTGCACAGAAGATGCATTAGTCAGCAAAACAATATAGAGTGATCCCGATCTCTTGCTAGTGTTTTATATTCTTTCAGTTCTTATCACTAGTTTTGTAGTCTTTCATTGCTCCAGATCACTGTATTTCAATTCAGTAATTTTTGAATTATTCATGTATGAGTGGTGGCATCTGGTAATAATGAAGGGTGAGTACACACTTAGCCTTTGCTCTTAAGAAATTTACAATTCGTTTGGGAAATAAGACATATACAATAAGATTTATTTTGTGATGTAAGCTGAATTCCCTCGAGTACGTGAGATGAAAAGATTAACTCTCCCTGGTAGGATAAGAGAAAAAGTTCCTTGAAGACATAGCCTTTCCTTCTTTAAAAATGGGGTGAATGTGAACAGGTAAAGAGAGACAGAGGAGGACTTGTACAGACCAGGTATCATGAGCAGAGTTACGAGAATGCAAAGAGCACAGCGATTCGTGGATTTCTAGATAATCTGAGCACTGTGGGTTAAAACCAGAGAAATCCATGATTCCCCTGGAATAGAAGAAATCTTTGAGTGTGGGCAAACTGGCTTATTTGATTTGTTAAATGATGTGTCATAATCATTCAGACATTCAGTAAATATTTATCTGGTATAGATGTTGTTGGATACCAGGTAAATTTATCATTCTCCTTAAATTATACTGCTAGAATATCCCACATTTTGCCCTGGCAAATTGAATTGTGATTTTTCCATGATTGAAGACTAATGCTTTTAGTTCATATTTTGACCAAAATTTCCTTTGTTTTTCAGCAGTTTGGTAATACTTTTATCTAAAATAATACCAACGTTGTCATTTCTTGAAATCACATTTTAGGAATCTGATTTGATCTATATATCATACATTATATAAAAAAGCATTTCCTAATTATCTTATTCAAACATTTTGCTATTATGTTATAAGAAGAAAAATAACATAAATAGTCTCAAGTTAATTCAGTTCTAGTTTTGCTTCCAAATGTATTTTGTTTGTTTGTTTTTTGGTACTGGGGATTGAACTCAGGACCTTGCGCTTGTGAGGCAGGCAGCGGCACCACTGAGCTAAATCCCCAGCTTCAAATGTATGTATTTTGATGACCATGAGGACAGCACTTTCAAAGACGTCGGTTTTCTTTGTTTCAGATAAAAGATGAAAGAGCTTGAGACTGAAATATCACTTTTCTACTCTATGTTATTTATACTTGTTTGTTTTTACTTAAATGTGGGACACTAAGTTTAGTCAACCTTGATTGTTTGTTCAATTAATTGATTTGTTTCTCAGCGAATACGTATTATGATTCTGTGTGCCCTTTGCTGTCTGACTTCATTTTCAATCATCATACATATTCTTTTTAGCTTCCAATGTTTTGTCACTTGCAGATTTTTAGCACCCATTTTCAAGCTACTCTTAAGCCCTCAGTGTGGGGCTTCATAAGAGTCCTTTCCCTCAGGTGGCTCCACAGTTAGCGAACGTGATGGTAAATCTAAGGCCCCACCCCATAGTGCAATCTAAGTTTTACTCATTGTTCACAAAGATATTTAATAGTTTTTGTTAAATTCCTTTAATGATACGTAAGTATTTAAATACATATATATTTAATATATATATACACGCACACACACACACACACACATATTTATATATGCTGTCATCCAATCAAACCAGTCACACAAAAGGATTTGTTAAAGGAAATTAGGTAAGCTTGCATTATTTACTCTTTTTCTTTTATGTTTACTGCTAGTGATCCTTTATGACATTGTTTTTGAAACTGAGGTTTTGCCTTAAATATGTATTTAAAATCTTATGGTCTTTTCCCTCAGACAAGTTGAGAAATGTAGCCTTTAATTTTCTATCTTCCCATTTTTCTTTTCTTTCCTGTTAAGTTTATTGGTACATTTTAGGTATACAGTACGGTTATATTCATCACTGGGATCTTGTACCTTTACATGACAGGTCTTGGTTCTTATTTTTCCCTATTCCCCTGCCCTCTCTGTTCACCCCCTCCACCCTTCCCTATTTACAAGACTTTGTTTTCATTTTTTTCTCATATTTTTTTCTTTTCCCTTCTTACCTTTTCTCTACCCCTCACACTTCCCCTACTCCTTTAGACCTTTTCTTCTTATTACACAATATCAGTTACACATTTTGATCTTTATTTTCACTTTTAATTTTTCACACCAGAGAAACTATTCGGAATTTACTCAATTTGTGCCCTATTTATTTCACTTAAAAGTATTACCTCATTGTCCACTTAGCTATAAATGTCTCTAGTTCCTCATTCTTTATAGCTGAATAGTATTCCATTTTATAGATTGAACCACATGTTCTTTATGCAGTCTCCAGTTGATGGACAATTGGGCTGTTTCCAAGTTTTAGCTATTACAAAATGTGCTGCTATAAACATGGGTGAGCATATATCACTGTGGTATGACTCTTTAAATTCTTTTGGAAAGGTACCCAGCAGAGGAATAGCTGGATCAAATGGGACTCCTAATCCAAGTTCTTTGAGGTATCTCCATATTGATTTCCACAGTGGTTGAATCAGTCTGCACTCCCATCAGCATTGAATGGTTCCTTTCTCCCCACAACCCCACTAGCATTTGTTATTGGTTGACTTCATGATAGCAGCCATTCTTGCTGGGGTGGAATCTCAGAGTTGTTTTCATCTGCATCTCTTGATGCAGTGATGTTGAACATTGTTTCATATTTTTATTTACTGCTTTTACTTCTTTGTCAGAGAAATGTCTGTTAATTTCAGATGTCCATTTTTGAATTGGGTCTCTATATGTGGGGGGTCTGATTTTTTGAGTTCTTTATATATTATAGATTGTATACCTTTTTCTGAGGAACAGCTGGTAAAATTTTTTTCCCATATTGTGGGTTGTCTCAGCTTTGCTGGTGATTTCTCTTTCAGCACATATTTTAAAAATATGAGATCCCAGTTGTTGATTCTTTGTGCTAGTTCCTGTGCTACTGAGGATTTGTTCATAAAGTCTTTTCCTATGCCAGTGTCTTCAAGAGTTCTACCTAAGTTATTTTCCAGCAAGTTTAGTGTTTCTGTTTTTATATTTAGATCTTTAATCCACTTGGATTTTAGCTTAGTGCATGGTGAAAGATGCAGGTCTAGTTTTAATCTTTGATAAGTTGAAATCCAGTTTATCCAATACCATTTATTAAAGAGGCTATACTCTTAAGTGAAATAAATAAGTCACACATGTGTAAATACCGAATAGTTTCCCTGGTGTAAATAATCTGCAACAATGCATAAGATTCTAATAAGATTACTGACATTTAGAAATGAGAAGAAAGGAGCTAAAGGTGTAGGGAAGGTGGGATGGGTAGGTGAAGAGTAAAAAGGGAAAAGAAAAAAATGTGAGAGAATGAAAAGATGAAAATAAAGTGTTTGTAGATGGGGAGGGGAAGAGGGGGTGAAGGGAGGGCAGAGGTAAGGGGAAAAAATGAGAATCAAGACTTGTCATGTAGAGGTACAAGATCCCAACAATGAATGTAACTGTACTGTATCCCTAAAATATACCAA